GAAGGCGCAGGTTCGCAGCTTGGGGGTCCTCCTGGACTCAACGCTGTCGCTTGATGCTCAGGTGTCGGCGGTGGCCGGGAGGGCCTTTGCACAACTTAAAACTCGTGCACCAGATACGACCATACCTCGTGAAGTCTGATGTGGCCAGGGTGGTCCACGCCTTGGTTACATCCAAACTGGGCTACTGCAATGCGCTGTATGTGGGGCTGCCCTTGAAGACGACCCGGAAGTTTCAACTGGTACAACGAGCGGCAGCCAGGGAGTATACAACACCCCTATTAAAACAGCTTCATTGGCTGCCAATAAGTTGCCGAGCCAAATTCAAGGTGCAGGTCATGACCTATAAAGCCCTAAACGGTTCAGGCTCCGTGATTGCATCTCCTTCTATGAACCGGCATGAGCTCTAAGATCTTCCGGGGAGGCACTCCTCTCGTTCCCACTACCGACTCAAGTTGGTGGGGACAAAAGAGAGGGCCTTCTCAGTGGTGGCCCCCTGCCTTTGGAACGCCCTTCCAAGGGAAATAAGGCAGGCCCCATCCCTCCCCTCCTTTCGTAAGAGCTTGAAGACCTGGTGGTTTCAACAAGCCTTTAAAAATGAACAGTTCTAACTCAGCCCTACACATTGTCATAGAATCACAGAAGAGTTGGAAGAGACCTCATGGGCCATCCAGTCCAACCCCATTCTGCCAAGAAGCAGGAATATTGCATTCAAATCACCCCTGACAGATGGCCATCCAGCCTCTGTTTAAAAGCTTCCAAAGAAGGAGCCTCCACTACACTCCGGGGCAGAGAGTTCCACTGCTGAACAGCTCTCACAGTCAGGAAGTTTTTCCTCATGTTCAGATGGAATCTCCTCTCTTGTAGTTTGAAGCCATTGTTCCACGTCCTAGTCTCCAAGGAAGCAGAAAACAAGCTTGCTCCCTCCTCCCTGTGGCTTCCTCTCACATATTTATACATGGCTATCATATCTCCTCTCAGCCTTCTCTTCTTCAGGCTAAACATGCCCAGCTCCTTAAGCCGCTCCTCATAGGGCTTGTTCTCCAGACCCTTGATCATTCTCCAGACCCTTCATTGTCGAATATGGCCTTATTCTTCCTACCAATTACCCAGATCGTTTCCTCTAATTGGCCCCGGAATGAATAGCCACAGACCCCTGCCTAATATTATTGTTGCCTGCCATAGCATTGCACTTAATTCCCGGGCCCCCTAGAATTTTGGGGCTTGCATAAATCTTAGCCCAGCCTTCTAAATTTTTAAATTGCCTTGAACAGGCAGGATTAATTTTAATATATGTGTGTTATGGCGACAATTTTTATGCTTATATTTCGTTTTGTTTATCTTATGGATATGTTGTTGTACTTTGTATGTTTTGTGATGTTACCTGGGAACCGCTCTGAGTCCCCTCGGGGAGCTGGAGCAGCATATAAATAATAATAATAATAATAATAATAATAATAATAATAATAATAATAATAATAATATATTAATTATTATTATTAATAATAATTAATAATATTATTAATAAATAATTATTAATAAATAATTATTAATTATTAATTATTATTATTATTATTATTATTCCACAAGGACACAGCACTGCAGCAAGAGGCAGGAGAGATCTGTATTGCCCCCAAAGCGAGGAGCCACCTTTCGTTTTATTTCAAAATCTATAGGTCTGGTTCCAATATCACCCTTCCCTTTATTGGTCCGTTCTCCTTCCGTCCAATAGTAGTCCAATGCTGTTTCCGATCCTTTGTTTACCTTCCCCAGGAAGCAAAAAAAGTAACCAAAATCTCACGCAAGTTGAGCAACTCGGAGATGTCAGAACTTGTCACACATCTGGAAATCCCCCAAATTAGAATGGGCTATATAGGGTCCGACAATGGCCATGTGGACGCATTGTTTTGGGGTTCAGGGGCGTCGCCTTCTCCAAAGAGATTGCCATTTGGTGGGACGCAGGTTCAGAGAAACCCACTTCCTGTGCGGAAAGGAAATAAGGTCTGTTATGACATCTTGCACATGTCGGGGTCCCACGAGGAATATGTATCACACCCCAAAACCAATCTCATTTCAATGTAAACCTCGCCTCTCAACCGTCCCTCATCGTTCCCAATCCGGGAACCCCTGTGCCGGCAGGACTGAAGACCAACAGGTCGCAGGAGAGGCGGGTGAGCTCCCTCTATCAGCTCCAGCTCCTCATGCAGGGACATGAGAGAAGCCTCCCATAAGGATGATAAAAACATCAAAACATCCGGGCGTCCCCTGGGCAACGTCCTTGCAGACAGCCAATTCTCTCACACCAGAAGCGACTTGCAGTTTCTCAAGTCGCTCCTGACACGACAAAAAAAAATCCATCAATAGCCCAAAACTACTTTTATCAAGACCGTTCTTCCCTTCACCACCAAGGATCCAAAATTTGTTGTTGAAGGCTTTCATGGCCAGAATCACTGGATTGCTGTGAGTTTTCCGGACTGTATGGCCATGTTCCAGAAGCATTCTCTCCTGATGTTTCGCCCACATCTACGGCAGGCATCCTCAGAGGTTGAGAGGTCTATTGGAAACTAGCTAAGTGGGGTTTATATATGTACGGAATGTCCAGGGTGGGAGAAAAAACTCTTGTCCATTTGAGGCAAGTGCGAATATTGCAATTGGCCACCTTGATTTGCACTGAATAGCCTTGCAGCTTCAAAGCCTGGCTGCTTCCTGCCTCTGGGCATTTTTCACCCACATCTGTGGCAAGCAGCCTCAGAGTTTGTAAGAACTGATGGAAACTATGCAAGTGGGGTTTATATATCTCTTCCAGCTCTAGGATTCAATAATAATAATAATAATAATAATAATAATAATAATAATAATAATAATAATGGAGTTTCCTTCTCTAGACCCTTTTAAGCTGAGGCTGGATGACCATCTGTTGGGAGGGCTTTGATAGTTCCTTCCTGCATGGCAGGGTGGGGTTGGACTGGATGGCCTCTTTTGACTCTTTTGACAAGCATGTGGACAATTTCAACAGAAAGGAGGAAACCATGAAATCTGGCTACCAGTATTAAAAAAAACTCTAAAATTGCAACAGCACAACAACAGAGAGGAAACAAACAAGGACATCTAATCACCTCTCAACAAAAGTTTGCTCTAGGCACTGTCAGGCCATTATATGTTAATCAAGGTGATCAGCTGAAACATTCACACCTAGCTCCAGCAGATAAGAGTCCTTTGTCTCACCCTGGTCATTCCACAGATATATAAACCCTTTTTCCTCGTTCCAACAGACCTCGCTACCTCTGAGGATGCTTGCCATAGATGCGGGAGAATTATTATTATTATTATTATTATTATTATTATTATTATTATTATTATTTACAGCTTTTATATTCTGCCCTTCTCACCCCGCAGGGGGAGCCCCCAGTGGCGCAATGGGTTAAACCCCTATGCCGGCAGGGCAGAAGACCGACAGGTCGCAGGTTCGAATCTGGGGAGAGGCAGATGAGCTCCCTCTATCAGCTCCAGCTCCTCATGCGGGGACATGAGAGAAGCCTCCCACAAGGATGATAAAAACATCAAATCATCCAGGCGTCCCCTGGGCAACGTCCTTGCAGACGGCCAATTCTCTCCCACCAGAAGCGACTTGTAGTTTCTCAGGTCGCTCCTGACACGACCAAAAAAAAAACCCCGCAGGGGACTCAGGGCGTATTACAGTGTACACATATATGGCAAACATTCAATGCCAATTTTGACATACAAACATTTACAGACATACACAGGGGCTATTTAACTTACAGACATACACAGGGGCTACCAGGGGAGCTGTCGCTTTCATCGTCCATCTGCGATGCCGATGAAGCATTTCCGCATTCCACGCATGCTTCCCCACTGGAATGCTTTGCTGGAGACTTCTTTATGGCCTCATAAATCAGTTAATTTAGCCTCCCCACACTTTTTTTAAGGTGGTACCTAATTTTCCGACTTGACAGATGCAACTGTCTTTCGGGTTGCAAAGGTCAACAACAGGCTACACACAATTGGTTGGAAACCCACTCCAACCCGGGCTGGCTTCGAACTCTTTTGGTCAGAGTGATCTTAATGCAGCTGACACTCAGCCAGCTGCGCCACAATCCCTGTTGGAGCTAGGTGTGAATGTTTCAACTGACCACCTTGATTAGCATTTGATGGCCTGTCAGTGCCTGGGGCAATCTTTTGTTGAGAGGTGATTAGATGTCCCAGATTGTTTCCTCTCTGTTGTTTTGCTGTTGTAATTTTAGAGATTTTTTTTAATACTGGTAGCCAGATTTTGTTCATTTTCATGGTTTCCTCCTTTCTGTTGAAATTGTCCACATGCTTGTATTGTTTTAAAGTGTTTTTGTCCTACAAATAATATATGTGCAATGTGCATAGGAATTAATTCATTTTTTTCCAAATTATAATCTGGCCCTCCAACAGTTTAAGGCCGTGATGGTGAACCTATGACACGCGTGTCAGCACTGACACGCATGGCTATTTTTGATGACCAGGGTGGGACAAAGAATTCTTGTCTGTTGGAGCTAGGTGTGAATGTTTCAACTGACCACCTTGATTAGCATTTGATGGCCTGTCAGTGCCTGGGGCAATCTTTTGTTGAGACCACCATGTCAGACTACACAGAGAAGCCATTGAAATCCATAAGCATGTGGACAATTTCAACAGAAAGGAGGAAACCATGAAAATGAACAAAATCTGGCTACCAGTATTAAAAAACTCTAAAATTACAACAGCAAAACAACAGAGAGGAAACAAACAAGGACATCTAATCACCTCTCAACAAAAGTTTGCTCTAGGCACTGTCAGGCCATTATATGTTAATCAAGGTGATCAGCTGAAACATTCACTCCTAGCTCCAGCAGATAAGAGTCCTTTGTCCCACCCTGGTCATTCCAACAAAAATCTGGCTACCAGTATTAAAAACCCTCTAAAATTACAACAGCAAAACAACAGAGGGGAAACAATCAGGCACATCTAATCACCTCTCAACAAAAGATTGCCCCAGGCACTGCCAGGCCATCACATTTATTTGCTTTTGTTATTGTGTTTCGGCCTCATGTAAGCCGCACCGAGTCCCTTGGGGAGATGGTAGCGGGGTACAAATAAAGTTAATAATAAATAATAATAAATGCTAATCAAGGTGGTCAGTTGAAACATTCACACCTAGCTCCAACAGACAAGAGTCCTTTGCCCCACCCTGGTCATTCCACAGATATATAAACCCATTTTCCTAGTTCCAACAGACCTCACTACCTCTGAGGATGCTTGCCACAGATGGAGGCGAAACATCAGGAGAAAATGCCTCCAGACCATGGCCATATAGCCCGAAAAAACCTACAACAACGCAGTGATTCCGGCCATGAAAGCGTTTGACAATACATCCTTCACGTCCTCTCTCTCCTCCCTTGCCTCTAAAGCCAATGAGCAGGTCTCCCACACCCACAAGCTTCAAGCAGAGCCCAGGATTTGATGTTCTAAGCATGAGTTTAGCCCTCGTGATTGTGGATGGGTGGAACATCACTACGAAAACAGATCTCTCCAAAGAACGGTGTCAACCTCCTAAGCAACGAGGAAGTGTCGATTCCCGCACTGCTCCTTTTGACCCTCTGTTTTCCTTGCAACATTCCCCGCTTTCCTCCACCTAGTCTCAAAATATTTTCTGAGAAACCTATCACGCTCTTTCTCTCCTTTCCTCCATCTCGAAAGCCTTTCCAAAGCAACAAATTGTGCAAAACAAGGTACAGTAGTCTTGCTTATCCGACCTTCGCTCATCCGACAGTCTGTATTATCCGATGCCCCTAAAGACCCTCTGTTTTCCTTGCAACATTCCCCGCTTTCCTCCATCTAGTCTCAAAATATTTTCTGAGAAACCTATCACGCTCTTTCTCTCCTTTCCTCCATCTCGGAAGCCTTTCCAAAGCAACAAATTGTGCAAAACAAGGTACAGTAGAGTCTTGCTTATCCGACAACTTTACTCATCCGACAGTCTGTATTATCCAATGCCCCTAAAGACCCTCTGTTTTCCTTGCAACATTGCCCGCTTTCCTCCATCTAGTCTCAAAATATTTTCTGAGAAACCTATCACGCTCTTTCTCTCCTTTCCTCCATCTCGGAAGCCTTTCCAAAGCAACAAATTGTGCAAAACAAGGTAGAGTCTTGCTTATCCAACCTTCACTCATCCGACAGTCTGTATTATCCAATGCCCCTAAAGACCCTCTGTTTTCCTTGCAACATTCCCCGCTTTCCTCCACCTAGTCTCAAAATATTTTCTGAGAAACCTATCACGCTCTTTCTCTCCTTTCCTCCATCTCGAAAGCCTTTCCAAAGCAACAAATTGTGCAAAACAAGGTACAGTAGAGTCTTGCTTATCCGACCTTCACTCATCCGACAGTCTGTATTATCCGACGTCCCTAAAAAGCACGCATAAATTGGCGACCAGAAAAGCACCGCTGCACAAAAATTGAGCGCAGCGGGTCCACCGGGCACGGATGTACGACAGTGCTGGCTGCATCTTTCCTCTTCCGACGGATGCCGGGTTCCTGGTTTTGCCACCACTGTCTTTGCTGCCGGGACCTGGCCCAGTGAGAGCGAGGGAGGGAGAGAGCGGGGAAGGGGGGCGGGGAAGGGAGGCCCCAGAAGGAAGGGAGAGTGTCGGCCCCTGCTCTCTCTAACAGCTACATGCACCAAGCGCCCGCCAGGAGGGACGGGACCTAACTGGTGCCGGCTAGGTACACGGACTTTGGTGAACCTGCACTCAACCCTTGCGCCACGGCACCTCACCACCCCTAATAGACTTTTCCTTGATCCCTCCCTATTATCCAACATTTCCACTTATGCAATGGCCTGTTGATGTCGGATAAGCGAGACTCTACTGTAATGTTGACAATCAGGACCATTCTTTGCATTTTTCCAGAGAATCCTTGGGAATGGGGAACGTCGACAGGTGGGAGGACTCAACCAAAGACAGAGCCCAGAGCGAGCGAGGGAGGGAGAGAGCGGGGTAGGGGGGCGGGGAAGGGAGGCCCCAGAAGGAAGGGAGAGTGTCGGCCCCTGCTCTCTCTAACAGCTACATGCACCAAGCGCCCGCCAGGAGAGACGGGACCTAACTGGTGCGTGCTAGGTACACGGACTTTGGTGAACCTGCTGCACTCAACCCTTGCGCCACGGCACCTCACCACCCCTAATAGACTTTTCCTTGATCCCTCCCTATTATCCAACATTTCCACTTATGCAATGGCCTGTTGATGTCGGATAAGCGAGACTCTACTGTAATGTTGACAATCAGGACCATTCTTTGCATTTTTCCAGAGACTCCTTGGGGATGGGGGACGTCAACAGGTGGGAGGTCTCAACCAAAGACAGAGCCCACTTTCGGGGGCTTTTCGGCCAAGGAAACGGGTCAGCAGAGAAAGGGTGGTATCCTGCGTGTCCCTGTTCTATTTTTCTCCAATGGGGCTCAGCGTCAACATGTCTGCCTCGGATCACAGCGGGGTCCCCGAAGCCCTCTCCGCCGGGCCTGGCCTCTGCCCGTTGCGATGGCAGCCCTCCCCTCCGTGCACAATGAGGACCGGAAAGTACAGGGCGTCTTGGTAGCAGGGAGGACTCTCCAGCGGCTCGGTCTCGATGCTGCTGCCGACGTGGCTGCCACTCAAACTGCGGAGGATTCCCCCGCACCGGCGCGTGCCACCTAGCGAGAAGCGGCTGCAGCTGAACGGCAGGCGGGCGTAGAGGGCCCGGGTGCCTCGGGAAGGCAGGGAGTTGCTGCTGACAGTCCGGCGGCAACGTTGGCAGCTGCGGAGGTAGGCCGTGCCGGCGACAAGGGACGAGTCCATAAGGATGGCCTCGGAGTAGCTCGGCACCAGCTGCTGGTTGGACCGGATGTGCCATTCCAGCTCAGTCATGTCCACAGTGTTGACCCGAGAGATGCGCCGGCCATACGCCCCCGAGGTGTCCAGTGGGCTAGGACCATCATCCGCCCCAAAGAGTTTCTCGACATGGTAGTGGACGTTGGCCATGCGGTACTCGGCCAGCACCCGGAGTGGCCAGGAGAGCAGGAGGAAGGAGGCCAGCCAGAAGACCCAGCGCCGCGTGTACCAAGGGGGGCGCCCCGGGTCAGGGAAGACCAGCATGTGCTCCTTAAAGTCCACGTTCTTGAGGTGCATCCCCTCGCGGGCCTCCATGTAGTCATCCAGGCCCTCGTTCTCACCAAAGAAGCGGGCCCGCTGGGTCAGGTAAGCCGCCTCCGCCTCTCCGGTGGCGAAGCTGAAGCACTTGGTGAAGCGGAGCTTGGTGACAGGGTAATCTGAAAGGCCCAGCAGCTCCTTGGAGACGTCCTTAACCCCGTGGCCAGAGTAGTCAAACTCTGTCTCGGCCACGTGGGTATTGACCCGCTCGTGGTAGACCTGGGTGGTGGTGTAGGCATCCCCGTTGCGGTAGCGGGTGACCTGCCGGGTGCGGCGAATGTAGTGGTAGCTGATGGCCTTCCACCAGATGCACGGGGTGGCCTGCTGCATGCGCTGGACCTTCTCGTACACACTGGCCGTGTCCACGCGGTACTGCATCTGCCCCTTGGCGAAGCGGTGCCAGCACTCCACAAGGTAGACCACATAGAGCATGCCCAGGAAAGCCAGTGGGATGTAGATGTAGCCGTTGGAGCAGGGGCTGTCGTGGTAGACCACCGAGGTCCCTTGGTAGGAGCTGTCGTAATTCAGGCGGGTCACTGTCGAGAGGCGGCACCAAGCCATGACGCCAAAGCAGCCAAACATCAACAGGGTGAGGAAGAGGCATTTCCAGTGGGACTCACGGCAGAGAGAGCTGCTGAGGGACTGCTTGAGTGGACGCTGCTGCTCGTCATAGGAGAGAGAAAGGAAGGAAAGACAGAGGAAGGGAGGGTGGGAAGGAGGGAGGGAAGGAGGGAGGGAGGGAGGGAGGGAAGATAGAAGCAAAGAAGGAAGGAAGGCAGGGAGGGAAGGAGGGAGGGAAGGAGAGGAAAGGAAGGGGAAGGGGAAGGGGAAAGGAGGAAGGAAGGAAGGAAGGAAGGAAGGAAGGAAGGAAGGAGGGAGGAGGGAGGAAGGGAAGAAGGGAAGGAAAGAAGAGGGAAGGAAGGAGAAAAGGAAGGAAAGAGGGGAGGGAAAGGGAGGAGGAAGAAGGGGAAGAAGGAGGGAAAGGAGAGGGAGGGGAAGAAGAAAGGAAGGAAGGAGAGAAGGAAGGGAAGGAAGGAAGGAAGGAAGGAAGGAAGGAAGGAAGGAAGAAGGAAGGAAGGAAGAGGAAGGAAAGAAGAGGGAGGAGAGAAAAGGAGAGGGAAGGGGGAGGAAGAAAGGATAGAAGGAAGGAATGAGGGAGGGAAGGAGGGGAGCAGAATGAAGGAGGTCAGGGGAAGAATTAACGGAAGGATGAAGGTGTGAGTACGGAAGCACGGAAGTGGGAGATGAAGAAAGACAGGTGGCGGGCAGGGGGCTGGAAGGACGGAGGGCAGGTGTTAAGGCAGTGAGTTGGATAGGAACAAGGAGATAATGACGGAAAGAAAGAGGAAGGAGGGAAGGAGAGAAGGACGGGGGCTGGGAAGCCAGGAAGGACAAAGGATGGAAGGAAGGAACGAAGGAAAGGAAGGAAAAGGGGAGAAGGAAACAGAAAGAAGGAAAGAAAGAGGGGGACGGTAGGAAGGAAGGAAGGAAAGAAGGAAGGAAAGCGGGAGAGAAGGAAGGGGGACAGAAGGAAGGAGGGAGTGAGGGGGAAAGGAAGGAGAGAAAGAGGGAAGGAGGAAGGGGGGAGGAAGGGGGACAGAAGGAAGGAGGGAGGGAAGGATGGGGGGACAAAAGGGGAGGGAGGTGGGAAGGAAAGAGAGAAGAAAGGAAAGAAAGAGGGGGAAGAGGAAGGAAGGAATGTGGGAAGGTGGAAAGAAAGGAAGGCAGGCAGGCAGGGAGAGAAGGAAGGAGGGAAGAAAGGCAGGAGGGGAGGAAGGAAAAAAGGAGGGAGGGAGGGAAGGGGAGACAAGAAAGGAGGGAAGGAGGAAGGAAGGAAGGAAGGAAAGAAAAGAAGGAGGGAGGGAAGAGAAGGAAGGAGGAGGAAGCAAAGAGGTAGGGACAAAGGAAGGAGAGGAAGGAAGGAGGGAGAGAGGAAGGGAGGCAGGAGGGAAGAATGAGGATGGGAAGGAGGGTGGAAGGAGACAGGAAGGAAGGAGGAGGTAGGGAGAAAGGAAGGAGGTAGAGGAAGGGAGAAGAGGAAGGAAGGAAGGAAGGAAGGAAGGAAGGAAGGAAGGAAGGAAGGAAGGAAGGAGAGAGACAGTGCAAGGTTACAAGTCCCTTTCAGTGGTGTATATATATAGGTTCTTCTTTCATTAAAAGCACACCAAGCATCTGGTACCTATGCTTCCAAGGAGGTGGGCTGGAGTTGGGATGCCCCCCCCCCCCCCAATTGGATATCTGTGCATTTCACTTCTCCTGCCTAAGTGTAATACCGTATTTTTCTCCCAGTTGGGACTCATGTTGTTGCTTTCCGCCCCTTTGTTCCTTTGGTAAAAAGCCTCTGGGAAAGGGGCCAAGTGCAAATGGCTTTCACAACAATCCTACGGGGAGCAAGATCTACCTGCAGAGGATTGCCTTCAAGCAACCCATCCGTTTCCGGTAAAAATGGCACTATATTGGGAAACGGCGTGTATGTGAATGGTTGGGGGGGTTAGGGGTTAGGACAGGACTGTTTTGCCCAATTTAGATCCTATACCTGTTTTGAATCATCTGCCCTCCTTGGGGAATGCAATAGTAGTAGTAGTAGTAGTAGTTATTATTATTATTACTTCCCTCAATTTAGACTCTATTCCAATCCCGTATCTTTCCTTGAGGAATTCTATTATTATTATTTCCCTCAATTTAGATCCTATTCCAATCCTGTGCCTTCCTTGAGGAATGCTATTATTATTATTATTATTATTATTATTATTATTATTATTACTATTATTATTATTATTATCCTCTGACCTTTCTGAGGAAGGCTCTAATAATATTAACAACAACAACTTTCCTTGATGGAAACCCTATACCTGCTTTGACTGCCCTCCATGAGGAACCCTATTATTATTATTATTATTATTATTATTATTACTACTACTACTACTACTACTACTGAAGGGGTGAATAGTTCCCTTCACTACTAATACTACTACTATTTCCCTCAATTTAGGTTTAGTAGGTACTTTGAATCCTATGTCCTTCTTGAGGAATGTTGTTGTTGTTGTTATTATTATTATTACTACTACTACTACTACTACTACTGAAGGGGTGAATAGTTCCCTTCACTACTAATACTACTACTATTTCCCTCAATTTAGGTTTAGTAGGTACTTTGAATCCTATGTCCTTCTTGAGGAATGTTGTTGTTGTTGTTATTATTATTATTATTATTACTACTACTACTACTACTACTACTGAAGGGGTGAATAGTTCCCTTCACTACTAATACTACTACTATTTCCCTCAATTTAGGTTTAGTAGGTACTTTGAATCCTATGTCCTTCTTGAGGAATGTTGTTGTTGTTGTTATTATTATTACTACTACTACTACTACTACTACTACTACTGAAGGGGTGAATAGTTCCCTTCACTACTAATACTACTACTATTTCCCTCAATTTAGGTTTAGTAGGTACTTTGAATCCTATGTCCTTCTTGAGGAATGTTGTTGTTGTTGTTATTATTATTATTATTATTATTATTATTATTATTATTATTATTATTTCCTTCAATTTAGACCCTATTCCAATCCTCTGACTTCCTTGAGAAATGCTAAGATAACATTAACAACAACTTTCCTTGATGGAAACCCTATACCTGCTTTAATTCCCCTCTTTGAGTAATTATTATCATTAGTAACAATAGTAATTATTATTATTTCCCACAATTTAGACCCTATTCGTGCTTTGAACCTCTGTCCTCTTTGAGGGATAATAATAATATGATGATTGTTATTATTTCTCTTGATTTAGACCCTATTCCAATCTTCTCCCCTTCTTGAGGAATGTAATAATAATAATAATAATAATAATAATAATAATTTCCCTTGATTTAGTCCCTATTCCAATCCTCTCCTCTTCTTGAGGAATACTATAACAACAACAACAACAATTTCTCTTGATTTAGATCCTATTCCAATCCTCTCCCTTTCTTGAGGAAGACTATAATAACAGTAATAATAATAATAATAATAATAATAATAATAATAATAATAATTTCCCTTGATTTAGACCCTCTTCCAATCCTTTGCCCTCCTTGAGGAATGCTACAATAATATCAATAACAACAACTCTTCCTGGATGTGTAAACCCTATACCTGCTTGGACTCCTCTGCCTTCCTTGAGGAACCCAATACCAATAACAACAACAACATTCCTCAAGGAGGGTCTACATTGAAAGAGAGAATAATAATAATAATCAGACCTCACAACCTCTGAGGATAGTGCCATAGATGTGGGTGAAACGTCAGGAGAGAATGCTTCTGGAACAGGGCCAGACAGCCCGGAAAACTCACAGCAACCCAGTAATAATAATAATAATTTATTATTATTATTGCTGGGTTGCTATGAGTTTTCCAGGCTATCTGGCCCGGTTCCAGAGGATTGGGTCTAGAGCCTATCCTATAATAATAATAACCCAATAATAATAATAATAATAATAATTACTGGGTTGCTGTGAGTTTTCCGGGCTATCTGGCCATGTTCAAGAGGAATGGGTCTGGAGCCTATCCTATAATAATAATAATAATAATAACCCAATAATAATAATAATAATAATAGCAATAATAATAATAACCTATTATTATTATTATTATTATTATTATTATTATTATTATTATTATGGGGTTGCTGTGAGTTTTCCGGGCTGTCTGGCCCTGTTCCAGAGGAATGGGTCTAGAGCCTATAACAATAATAACCCATTATTATTATTATTATTATTATTATTATTATTATTATTATTATTATGGGGTTGCTGTGAGGGCTCAATGCTATGGAATAACACTATGTAACACGATTTTTGTTCCTGGGTTATAAAATTATATAATAATAATAATAATAATAATAATAATAATAATAATAATAATAATGTATTATATTATTATTATAATATTATTATATTACTATTATTATGGGGTTGCTGTGAGGGCTGTCTGGCCCTGTTCCAGAAGAATGGGTCTGGAGCCTATCCTATAATAATAATAATAATAATAATAATAATAATGGGAATAATAATAATAATAATAACAACAACAACAACCCATGATTATTATTATTATTATTATTATTATTATTATTATTATTGCTGTGAGTGTTCTGGGCTCTATCGCGTAAAATTAAATAAAAGTAATAATAATAATAATAATAATAATAATAATAATAATAATAATAATAACAACAACCCATGATGATGATGATGATTATTAATATTATTATTATGGAGTTGCTGTGAGTTTTCTGGGATGCCTGGCCCTGTTCTAGAGCCTATCCTATAATAATAATAATAATAATAATAATAATAATAGCTATTATTCTTCTTCTTCTTCTAGTCTAGGCTCCAGAGCCAATCCTCTGTCCTCTCTGCAAAGGCAAGGAGAGAGGTGAGAGGGAGGAAGAGGAGAAGGTGGAGGAGGAAGGCCAAAAGGAGGAAGCAGCCTCCGTCTCCCGTGAGCTCCATAATCCTTTTTTAAAATGCCTGGCTTCCTTCTCCTCGTTGCGGGTGGGAAGCGCCTCCGAGGAAGGCGAGGCGAGGAGGAGAGGAGAGGGGGAAGCAGAAGCAGGAGCCGCAATGCAGAACTTTGGGCGGGCGGGCGAGAGGACGCCTCCCTTGGAGCGGACGGCAGGGGCAGCCTCGGGAGGAGAGAGCCCGAGAGGGACCGAGGCTGGCGGAGGAGGCGAGGAGGGAGACCCCCGCGCTCAGTCCCACCCCCCTTGCCCTCTCTTTGTGCCTTCTTACCTCCTCCCGAGGCGGCCCCCCTGCCGGCGTGAGCGTGGGCAGCTCCCCGGCCCCGGGAGGCTGGGGCGGATCCTCCTCGTCCCCCGCGCGAGACATGGCTCCCGCCTGGGGCCCCGCGCATCGTGGGGACCCCCAACACGAGGGAGGGACGCCGCCCGCCGAAAGACAGCCACCCGCCCAGCGACGCCTCCCTCCCTGCCTGGCTCGGGCTGCCTCCCAGCCTCCTCCGACGCGGCTCCGCCCTCCACCTAGTGGCCGCCAAGGGAAGGCACCCCAAAGGCACCCCAAAGGCCATCTAGTCCAGCCCCTTTCTGTTGGGAAGAGGGCCAGGTGGGGTGATCTATACAGGTAATTTTCAAGTGTAAGCAAACAGTATTTTGGCGCACCCCCCCAACCAATCATTGATATCTATTTTCTGTTCGTCGTGGGAGTTCTGTGTGCCATACTGGGTTCAATTCCATCATTGGTGGAGTCCAGAATGCTCTTTGATTGTATGTGAACTATACATCCCAGTGGGGTGAACCCGGTGGCACAGTGGGTTAAAGCACTGAGCTGCTGAGCTTGTTGATCGAAAGGTTGCAGGTTCGATTCCGGGGAGCGGCGTGAGCTTCCGCTGTCAGCCCTAGCTTCTGCCAACCTAGCAGTTCGAAAACATGCAAATGTGAGTAGATCAATAGGTACCGCTCCGGCGAGAAGGTAACGGCGCTCCATGCAGTCATGCTAGGATTCTATGATTCTATGATATCGGACAACGCTGGCTCTTCGGCTTAGAAATGGAGATGAGCACCACACCCCAGAGTCAGACATGACTGGACTTAATGTCAGGGACTACCTTTACCTTTACCTATAGCAGATCAAACAAACAAAATACTGCAGAAAATAAGAAGAGTCAGCAAAGATGTTTTGGACAAATACAGAATTATATACACAGGGGCGGCTCGTCCATTATGCGAAGTAAGCAGTCGCAGAACACGTTTTTTTGCCAGGGGCGCAGAGGCGCCTCTGTAAATGCCCCTCGACTGCCACTTGAGGAGCGCCCCCTCAGCTCACAACAGCTCTAGCAGTCCGGGGGGAGCCTCGGCTTTCTTGCCTCACTGCTGGGCGATCCTCTCCCCAAAGGGGCCGGGCCCTTGAGCCTCGCCTAGCCCCTCTCGTTCCTGCTCCACCCGGCCACCGGGTGCGCAAGCAGAGCCGGTGCTCAATTGTTCTCCGCATTCGATCCCTTCCCCATGACCGGTTCCCTTTTCCAAACCCCCTGTGCTCCACCCGCTTCCTCTCCTCTCCCCAATCCGCGGGTGGGCCAAGGGGCGGAGCCGCCACGCCTGGCCCACTTCGGGTCCAGAGGCGTGTTGAAGACCCCAGCATGCGCACCAAAAGTCGCCTCTTCTCCTGACTTTCTCTTCAGCCATTGGGACCAAGAGAGAGAGAGAGAGCCCCTCCGGCTGGAGGTATCTCCCACCTCCGCTCCCTCCTTTGTTTTTGCGCCTACCTTCAGGAAAGGTGGGCATCTCCACCTCTCTCTCTCTCTCTCTCTTGGTCCCAATGGCTGAGGAGAAAGTCAGGAGAAGAGGTGACTTTTGGTGCACACGCCGGGGTCTTCAGGCACGCCTCCGGACCCAAAGCGGGCCAGGCAAGGGAGCAAGTGCGGCAAGTGTAGTTACTGGGATGTATAGTTCACCTACAATCAAAGAGCATTCTGAACTCCACCAATGATGGAATTGAACCAAATATGGCACACAGAACTCCCACGACGAACAGAAAATATATATCAATGATTGGTTGGGAGGGGGGATACTGTTTGCTTACCTTTGAAAATTACCTAGGGCCGCCTCTGATTGTAGGTGAACTATACATCCCAGTAACTACACTTGCCGCATTTGCTTCCTTGCCTGGCCTGCTTTGGGTCCAGAGGCGTGCCTGAAGACCCTAGCGTGTGCACCAAAAGTCTCTTGGAATTAGGACAATGGGTTTATATATCTGTGGAATGGCTGAGGTGGGGCAAAGAGCTCTTCCCTGCTGGAGCTAGGTGTGAATGGACACAGCATATTATTTGAGAACACAGAAATGCTGGACCACACCAACAACCACCATGTCAGACTACACAGAGAAGCCATTGAAATCCACAAGCATGTGGACAATTTCAATAGAAAGGAGGAGACCATGAAAATGAACAAAATCTGGCTACCAGTATTAAAAAACTCTAAAATTACAACAGCAAAACAACAGAGAGGAAACAACCAGGCACATCTTAACACCTCCCAGCAAGAGATTTTCCCAGGCTCAGGCAGGCCTTCAAATGCTAATGAAGGTGATCAGCTGAAACATTCACACCTAGCTCCAGCAGGGAAGAGCTCTTTGCCCCACCCCAGCCATTCCACAGATATATAAACCCATTGTCCTAATTCCAAGAGACCTCACTACCTCTGAGGATGCTTGCCATAGATGCAGGCAAAACGTCAGGAGAAATAGGATCTTGTGGGTTTTTTCGGGCTATAGAGCCATGTTCTAGAGGCATTTTCTCCTGACGTTTCGCCTGCATCTATGGCAAGCATCCTCAGAGGTAGTGAGGTCTGTTGGAAGTAGGACAATGGGTTTATATATCTGTGGAATGGCTGGGGTGGGGCAAAGAGCTCTTCTCTGCTGGAGCTAGGTGTGAATGTTTCAAGCTCACCTTCATTAGCATTTGAAGGCCTGCCTGAGCCTGGGAAAATCTGTTGCTGGGAGGTGTTAATCTGTGCCTGGTTTTTTCCTCTCTGTTGTTTAGCTGTTATAATTTTAGAGTTTTTTAATACTGGTAGCCAGATTTTGTTCATTTTCATGGTCTCTTCCTTTCTGTTGAAATTGTCCACATGCTTGTGGATTTCAATGGCTTCTCTGTGTAGTCTGACATGGTGGTTGTTGGTGTGGTCCAGCACTTCTGTGTTCTCAAATAATATGCTGTGTCCAGGCTGGTTCATCAGGTGCTCTGCTATGGCTGACTTCTCTGGTTGAAGTAGTCTGCAGTGCCTTTCATGTTCCTTGATGTGTGTCTGGGCATTGCTGCGTTTGGTGGTCCCTATGTAGACTTGTCCACAGCTGCATGGTATACGGTAGACTCCTGCAGAGGTGAGAGGATCCCTCTTGTCCTTTGCTGAACGTAGCATTTGTTGGATTTTCTTGGTGGGTTTGTAGATTGTTTGTATGTTGTGTTTCCTCATCAGCTTCCCTATGCGGTCAGTGGTTCCCTTGATGTATGGCAGGAACACTTTTCCTCAGGGTGGATCTTCATCTTGACTCTCGTGGCTTGTTCTTGGTCTTGCAGCTCTTCTGATGTCTGAGGTGGAGTATCCATTGGCCTGGAGAGCCCAGTTGAGGTGGTTCAGTTCATCTTGGAGGAGGTGGGGTTCGCAGATTCTTTTTGCACGTTCTGCCAAGGCTTTAATGGTGCTTCTTTTTTTGACTTGGGTGATGGTTGGAGTTTTTATGTAGATATCTATCTGTGTGTGTGGGTTTTCTGTAGACGGTGTGACCCAATTGTTGATCTGGTTTGCGGATGACTAGGACATCTAGAAAAGGCAGTCTTCCTTCATTTTCTTTTTCCATGGTGAACTGGATGTTTGGGTGGATGCTGTTAAGATGGTCCAGGAACCTGTTGAGTTCTTCTTCTCCATGGCTCCAAATGGTGAAGTGTCATCCACATATCTGAACCATATCGTGGGCTTTTTTGTTGCTGTTTCCAGGGCTTGTTTTTCAAAGTGTTCCATGTAGAAATTAGCTATGACCGGGCTGAGAGGGCTCCCCATAGCTACTCCATCTTTCTGTTCGTAGAATTAATTGTCCCACTGAAAGTAACTGGTGGTAAGGCAATGGTCAGGAGAAATGCCTCTAGAACATGGCCCTATAGCCCGAAAAAACCCACAAGAACCTAAACATCAAAAGCTTGCTGGAAATGTTCAGAACAGGACGGCAGTTTTTTCCATTTGCCCGGTAACTCAGAAGTATTGGAAAGACATCCATAAAGAAATGCAGCTAATCTTTAGTAAAAAGTTCCCGAGAAAAGCCGAATACTATCTACTGGGAATTACAGACGGAGAAATAACCCTCGACTCAAATGAAGATATTCTATTTATGTACCTGACAACAACTGCCAGAATGGTCTTTGCAAAACTCTGGAAGCAGAAAAAAAATCCAAATAAAATTTACTGGATAAAGAAGATAAATGAAATTAAATTAACTTTCTTACTTAAAAAGAACACTGGCAATCCGATCAAACAGACAAACTGGTCAATAATTGAAGAGTATATTGAAAATGGGTACAAAGATACATAATGGTACTGAGGTAACAACAAATTGGAAAGATATACTATATAAGATCACATACTAACAGAACTTATACGGGCAGAACCAGAAGGAAATTCACATTTTTTTTCTTTTTTTTTTTTAGCATTTTTTTTTTTGCATATTCTTTTTTTTTTCTTTCTTCTCTCTTCAATTTTTCACATTTAGTTAGAGTCTCGTCACTACAATTTCCTACTTTACTATCTTCTTCTAACACCGGAACAGATAGCCAAATTTAGCAAAGGAAAGATAGAGGGGAAATTTATTTATTTATTTATTTACGTTGCTTATATACCGCTGTATCTCAAGCCCGAAGGCGACTCACAGCGGTTCACAAACAGTAAAAACAGTAGAAACAGCAGTGGTTCCATACAACATATAACAATTGACATAACACATTATCCATAAATTACCAATAAGCAATTACAATGCACAATTATTACGAAAAACAACCGTACCCAATCTTCTCATCATCCAAGCGTAGTCCAGGTTCGTCGTCCATTGTTCCATTCCTATGTTCCATTACCAGATTGCACTAAATTACTCAAACGCCTGCACAAACATCCAGGTCTTCACCTTTTTGAGGAATACCATTAGAGATGGTGCTAGTCTAATGTCCGTAGGAAGGGCGTTCCACAGCCGAGGAGCCACCACCGAGAAGGCCCTATCTCTCGTCCCCGCCAGCCGAGCTTGAGAAGCAGGCGGGATCGAGAGCAGGGTCTCCCCGGAAGATCTCAAAGTCCTGGTGGGTTCATAGGGAAGCTACATACATATGTGGTGGAGCTGCAAGAGAATTAAAACCTATTGGCGCCAGATTTGTATAGAGACAGGAAAAATCCTCCAAATAAAAATTAAACTAAAACCAGAATATTTCTTGTTGGGAATTATAGACTTT